TGAATAATCCATTCAATTCGCGTTCTTTGTTATTTACTCCATTTAGTAACTTGGAATGAGTCAAATAATTCAACTTATGTTTAATTCCATGCATGTTGATTTCAGGATTTTTTTTATATTGAAAATAAATTCTAACCAAGTTGACAAATGTCATTTTCATTTTACATAAACATGAATGAATTATTGTGATTGAAAATTCATCTTAATTACTGTATAATAATAAATCAATAGTAAATTGCTACAAGGGAATTTATTAAAATCCAAATTCGACCTTGAATAATGTTCACTTATTTTGTTATTTATAATCAGAAATTTAGCAACGACATTAGGTAACATAAGTTTAGTTAAAGTTACTTAATTACTTAGTAATATACCTATCGTTGGTTTGGGTTATGAGTCATGTCAACATTCTAATGGGAGCAGTATTCGATCGATTATATTGCATATGTAAGTGACACAAAACATATATATTTGATTATATTGTGGTTGAAATTAATGCTACATAATTTGTTAGATTTATGAGATATGATCAATATCGAAAGATGTATACTTATTATATATTTGTGTGATATATTTATTATTGATAAGTGTACGGCCGGTATAAATGCAATGAAAAACTTGTTTTTATATATTCATCAACCAAATAAAGTATTTACACAAAATAGTAACTAGTTATTGAGACAATTCGAAAACTAGAATATTTACAGACTATATCATACTAGCCTCTCTCTCTATATAAACTAGAATATTTCCCGACTATAAACTAGTAGGAAGTATAATGTATACTTTATGTTTGCAAAGATATTAAGAAAATACGGGAGAGCAAGACCAAGAGAGAGTTAATAAAGTACTTTTACCGTGGTGAGAGTCTGAGAGGGTGTGAGATAAGGTGTTTATTATAAAAGAGATTGTGACATATTGTATAAAAATAAATGAGTATATATAAGAACAATAAAAAAAAAAGAAAAAAGTTTAGTTTATTTTTGTAAATGTGAGACGCTTATTACATGTGTAATATGTTGTTTGGGAAAAATATGCCTCAACTTTCTCCCTCGTATGTAAGGTTCCTCTTCAATCCAGACACATGTGATGTTTAATGGGGCCAAAATACATTTTCACATTTGTCCTTGTATGGACCTATTCAATTAGGCCCAAAGTACATTTCAGCCATTAAAGGTCTCAAATTGTAATCTTGGCTCTGATACCATATTTAATATGAGTATGGGTTGCATTTGCCCTACACACACACACAAACACACACACAGAGAGAGAGAGTCTAGTTTACAAGACTAAATTAAATTATAGGAATGATGATGTTAATCGGGCCTAAGTTATACCCATCATAAAGTGAATGCAACCTTTTGTTATTATTCAATGTAGGATATATATTCCAACTCTCCTTTCTCACTGTTCATCGTTTTATGTGGGACGACACTTTCACTCACATGTGGATTTAATTGTTCATGACTTGGGCATACGGATGGTGATTTGAAAAGGAGGTATTATCACAACATTCTATATTTATAGAACTTTGTGGGGGTTTTTTTCTTCACATAAAAAAAAAAAAACATTAGATAATTTACTTCAAACATCCTTTCTAATGACATAAAACCACTACATGTGAATAGATTTAAGATCTAGTCTTAATGATACAAATTAAAACAACATTCAAACTTAAAAAAACAACATAACCCACTACTTTTAGTTTGGTAGGCCATTTTCTGATGAGCAGTGGAAACTTGTATAAGCATTGTTGAAACCCATTGTCCCACTTGTGAATGTTCCACATTGGAGAAAGAGAAGATGTGGTTCCAATTTATAAGATAGAGGAGTAACTCTTACTATTTTCAATTGGTTTTAGTTCTGCTTTTGACATTTTGCCCACTACAAGTCTACAACCACCCAATCATATAACTAATATATAAAGCTAAACTTTTAGCCAGGTCACGAGACAGCGACACTTGCCGTTTCAATTTTTCGCTAAGTGTCGTCCCACATTGGATAGATTTAAATAGACTTCATAAGATAGAATTTTAGAATAAAATTGTTGATTTAGAGTTTTATTTTCGATAAAATACCAATATTTCTGACGTACGAATTGAATTATAATTTTATTCAAAAAAATTATTAGATTATAATTCTAAAAAAATATCATATAAATTTATTTTTTTTGTATCATAATATTTTTTGGAATGAATGAAGTAGTTCAAAGCACAAATCATTCATTTATAATATGTACTAATCGGTTAAAATAACATATATACTTCACAATCTAATAGAATTTTATTACTATATAGACCTGTTAGGTCTGGTCATGAGTTAACTCGAACTACAAATTTATCTTAAAATTCAATAAACAACTCGGGCATCGCCGGGGTACAAAACTAGTTATCTTATAAAACTATTTGGTTGTGACTTATGCGATAGAGAGAAAGTTTGCGTTTAAAAGTAACTAATACAATCACTTAGCCAAACCAAATTTAAACATGTTACAGAAACGCTAATTACCAAACAAGACCGATAATCATCTCTTCAAGCCTTCAAGCCCATGTTTACATAAGAAACAAATTCATCATGGGCTCTTCTTCTAAACTTAGCCCACATAACAAAACTCCCAAAATTTAACCACCACTAAACCCTAAACCCCTCTGTTTTCTCTCTCATCTTCCAAAATCAAAATCAATTCAATATCCATTATCAAATACTTCAAGTCTTCAATCCTTTCCTGAAACTTAATAAAAAATTCATCAATGGCGTCGAAATGCGGTAGATTCATGAACAGAGCATCACTATCTTCTCTCAAATCCTCCATTAATTCTGCTACTAAATCTACTCCAAGGTCTGCTGCATCTGCTCTTCCTAGATCCACTTCTTCAAATCTTCCTCGAATCAATTTCTCAAGGTCAGTTTCTCTCTCCTAATTTCAAATTTATCATAATTTTCTCTCATATTTTTGTATTAATCTTTGATATATATATTCCGATCGATAGATTGCCGAAGGAATTGGGAGGAGCGCAGTCGCTGTTGCCGCTGCACAGCGCCGTAGCAGTTGCGAGGCTGACGTCATGCTTAAGCACAACTTCGAGGAGTTCCAGAGCTCTCTCTCAGGGTACACTCTGCCGTACCTCTCCCGACCTCTAGTATTCTTATTTTTAGGTTTGTGCATTTTGCATTTGATTGATTATATGGTAAATTCATATAATTAAATTCAATTTTGATTAGGTTTTCCTTGCTTTCCTAATAAAAATCATCATATAATTGCTAATTTTAGCTAAGAATGAACTAGATCAGCATTGAGATTGTTTTGGTGACTTTAGCTTAGTTTACCTTGTGATGGTTGATGTTTGATATTAGGTAGTAATGTGTACTGGGACATTTCTCGTTAATCGCCGATCACATTAGCATTGCAACTGTCTTACAACCCCCGATTCATCTAAAGAAACCACCTTTTGATATTCTCTGGTCTTAGCTTAGTTGATTGCATCATGTGAAGTTGCATTATTGGGAGTATGCACTGTGAAGTGTAATATCTGATAGGTTATCCAATGAATGAGTGTATTTGATTTGTGCAATTGTTTCATGTGGTTTTGTTCATTGATGGTACTTTAGCCAATATGGAGTATAATCTAAGTGCAAACTTTGCATAGCATTTTAGTTTCGGATTTGTGAAGTTTATTGGGGAGAGGAAATGGCAACTTGAGAGCAAAATGTGTAGGTAACTTATTGTTTCTGACTAAAGCAATGCCGTGCCTTGTGATTTTTTGGTGAAGTAAGATTGACATTCCATAGTGAGGTTGTTTTGGGTTTAGCGTTAGCTTTAGGCTGCAAGCCTGTGATTGTTTACTTCTGTGTGAAGAGGGATTAAATTTTGATTGTGATGGGAGGGCAAAAATTCATATGTCAAGTGTCAAATGTCAAGCTGACTAGAGTATTTGGTTCCTGCAGGCACATAATGTCAATATGCTTGAAAGAAATAGTATGGGTCCTGGGGCTTGCCAATCATGAATCCCTGCATCGTTATCAAGTATGAAACTATAAATGCTTTTTTTATAGAGACAAAATATGTCATACAAGAATACACCCTTTCTAATTTTGTAATTGAATGGCTCATTTTTAGAGCAGTTGAAAGTATTGGTAGTATAGTCCTTTTGCTGGTTAGTGAACTTAAATCATTTTTTATTTTATACTTGTCTCATTGATTGATGATTTAATCATTTTGCTCGAAATGTAATAAATGGCTGAGAACTAAATGAATTTTACATGGGTTGAAGGTATGAACAATTTAAAGGTTGTTGCCACATGCTCACACTAGCTTGTTTCTGTGGGGACAGATATGCTTTGGGTTCTTTAGCAGTCTAGGGTAGGTCATTCAAATGATAAGGCATTTAGGAAGATAATTTGATGATTTATCATTATCTTTAAAAGGAGCAGAGGATGATTCCCAGTAAAAATATTGATGCAATGGTTGACAATTTCTTTCAACTTCATACCTTTGCAAGTTTGCATCCTTTTTGCAGTCAATCCGTTCTTCAATCCTCTAGTACTATTGCACTTCTTACCTTGATTCAAAATGAAACCTCTTACAGTCTTATGTGTATACTATGTATCAACTTTAAGAGAGAATGATTGTAGTTGAAATATTGTTTTCACTGTAAAATAACGTATCTTAGGTCCATGAGGATGTTGTAGTGACATACCTGCTTATTTTCCCCAGATGAAACCGATGGTACGTGAGAGGTTTGAAGGTTGCTCAATTCACCAGTGCTTCCATGTTCCTTAGCTATAATGATTTTACAACACGGATATTGTATGTCTGATGCAAAGTCATATATGTACATTTTTTGGAGCAAATCTGTATCAATGCAGATGAAACCCTTTTTGTTTTCTTTGCGACTACAGCTTACTGGATCTAAGTCGAACAATATATTCAAGCATAATTAGCATATTGAAGTGCTACTTCTCATAGCAGTTTCTGATCAAAATTTATTTTCTGTTTGCTCTAGAGCTTGGTCTGTCCGTACCCAGGTGACTTAGCAGTTCATCGCTAATTCAAGAAGCCGTCTTCATGTGATTGGAAACACAACTTTTTGCTGCCAAAATTTTTATTGTAAACTGTACAAATCCTCTTTTCAGCAATTGAATTTCTTTGCTGGTCAAATATTGGATGTGAAGGTATTTATTTTTGAAAGTTTAACTGATGGAATAATGTGGTTTTTGTATTGTTACCCTGAGCTTAACTGTAGCAACACCGTCTTATACTCACTATTGCCGCAAATGCTGTACTTAATAATCTCAATTACATGCTTTGTTTCTTTTGACTTTCCAGTCCTACAAAAAAATTTATTTGTCGAACATGGTAGGCAACATCACCACAAAAATTTATCAATTTACTCTCTTTATATCAAGTTAGTGTTAGCTTTTGGGAGAGTAAAAAAATGTAAGAACATTGGTGCAGTCACTTTCGTTGTTCCTTCCATTGCAATTTCTTGTATTTTCAAAAGTAACTCGTTAATTATCTTTCAAGCAGCAAACTTCGACTCATTATTCTCCTCTGACCGGCTTCGGCTGGTATTTCAAGCCCAGGATTCTCCTCTGACCAACTTTGGCTAGTACTTTAAGCTCAGGGTTCACTCAATCCCTATTTGTGTTTGACTATATGCATATCAACCTCTAGATTCTTACTCAATAGTCTGTCGCTTTGCTTGACTTATAAGAACATTGTGGCCTTCATGGCTTCACAATTGTATCAAGGATTCACCTCTGTAGAACACTAGAATACGGTCACAGCAAAACATGCTCCGAAAGTATCTAAGATTCGTACTTAATCAGATGAATCCCACCTTTCTCAGCCTTCATCTGTTTAAGTCCGCATGACAATCGTTCCAGTTCTCATAACATTATGCGTCATGTAAATCTTCTCTCTTCAACCCAACTAAACCCAGCTTCTTTCATCACCCCTTGACCTCTCATCTGATCCCAAACTGCAGTTGCATCCACCCAATTGCCTCGGTCTTTGTTTATGTTAGATAGAATTACATAGCCCAACTCATTGCCTTCTAATCTCTTCAACTTTGCAGCTGCAACCTTGGCAACATCCAAATCCCCGTTATCTCCACAGGCACCAAGCAAAGCCCTCCAAACGGATGGGCATGACCCAAACCCTAGCTCATAAATCAACTTCTCGGCTTTGCATAGCTGCCCATGATATCCCATAAGTCTGATAACAGAAGCTAAATGCTCAGGATTTGGTTTGATTCCATAATCATAGTACATAGATGTCAAATACTCATAAGCTTTCTCCAATGGCATTTGGCTATGTGAACATGCTGCCAAAACATTCACAAAGGTGATTTCATCGGGTTTCAATCCCTTCGCATCCTTCAACTCCTCGAAATATTGGACCACCCTGTGTGATTCCCCATTATGTGTAAGACCAGCTATTAATGCATTCCAAGTAACAATGTTTTTCCTTGGCATGAACTGAAATAACATCTCTGCATCTTTTACCTGTCCACATTTCGAGTACATGTCAACCAGGGCACTCCCGATGATCATTGAAGTAATCAAACCATGTTTGATAGCACAACAATGGATTATGGTACCAGATCTTAGAGCTGAAATACACGCAATCCCACTCAAAATGCTCGAATATGTGAATTCATCTGTAACGACTGATTCTGCATGCATTTGAGCAAAGAAATCAAGAGCTTCCCCTACTCTACTCCTAACCACATACCCTGATATAATCGCGTTCCATGATGAGGAATTTGGTTTAGGCATGCTCCTCAATATCTTAATAGCCTCATCTATGTCCCCAAACTGCGAAATTCCATTAATCATTTCATTATAGGTGACAGTATTAGGGCAAGGCATCTGATTAAAGTAGCCAGAAGCTAGTTCAAGCCTTCTATTTCTGACACACGCAGCAATAACTGAATTCCATGAAATCACATCCTTATCTTTCAACTTGTCGAACACACTGATAGCGCAATCTTCAGAACTGCACTTCCCATACATATCAATCAAACAGTTTGCAACAACAACACTAGACTCCAGTCCATCCACGACAATCCTCGAGTGTATGGACATGCCTAACCGCGGCAATGTCAACTGCCCACAGGCAGCCAATGCAGAAGTAAAAGAGTATGCATTAGCTCGAATGTCAGACTGATTGAGCTGAAGAAACAGTTTCAGTGCATTCCACAACTTTCCAGAATGTACATACCCAGAAATCACAGCATTCCAAGAGACAACATTTTTCTCAGGCATTTTATCAAACAGTTTGTGGGCATCTTTTAAACACACAACTTTGGCATAAAAACTTACCAAAGCAGTATTTACATAGACATCTGAAGTGAACCCAGATCGTAAAGAGTAGCAATGAAGCTGTTTACCATGAAAAACACAACCATGATTAATACAACCTCGAATCATCTGCACCAATGTAAGACCATCTGGTTTGGTATCCCATCTGATTGTTGCAGTTTCCCCAGAAAATGAAATTCTAGTATCATGAGAATGATTTCTACGGATGAAATTGAGAGAAGTTTTAGAAATTGAGGAGAGAGAAAGAAGAAAGAGGTGATTTTGGAGGTGATTATTGTCAAGTGTCCTGACTCCTCTTCTGAGCAGTGTTTTTTGCATTACTTGCCTGAGGAAAGAAAGGTTAGGTTTTGTTCTTATTTGAATTTAGTTGTGAAATATATTTGATGGATTTGGTATCATGGCGAGTTGGCGACTGTCACGATCAAGTTGGTTTTTTTTTATTTTATACTAAAGTGCTTAAAAAATTTCGACATTTTAAGACTTATTTATAGATGGTGTGAATATGTGTTATAGATATACGACAATACGAGGAATGATACACATATCTTTATTCTTTAAGGATATTTTTAGTTTTAGGTGGTGTAGCTGTGTAGCAATTTAAGGCGGTACTAAGAGGCATTTTGGCACACCGTGAAGAAGTCAAGAAATGTGGATTAAGGGGTACACATTTCTATAGGAAGTGGGTTGATCTAAAAAATCCCTTTACTTGACATCGCGAATGTTACAAATAATGGAGCAAACAAAGGTTGTGTAACAAAAAAGCATCAATTCCTAAAAGCATTTACTTGTGCTTTTAACAGAGATTGGAATAGGCTAACTCTACTCGAATCTGTTATCAGTGATGTAAAATAACATCTAAATTTTCCATTAGGAGATACAAAAGAATCTGATACTGTCAATTTAACTATTGAAAATCAATAGCAACAGCATAAAGAGTTTGTTTATGAACGAATCTTTAGCTGTTTTGCTGCGTATCTCCGCCTGTCCAGTATGTTTTAACAGCAACAAGAATTTTCTCTGGGTTGAATGGACCACTTTCATGATCTGCAATATGGCTTTTCCACTTCATTCTCTTTGTGATTGCTTGAATCTTCACTAGAACTTCTACTGTGTCTCGGAATATCACTGTCCCTTCCGGTCTCAGTAATCTGTCCATCTCGAGCAATATGTAGGTAATGTCACACCTACAAAAAGAAAATTGCTTAGCCAACTTAGTGCTACATGCATACATATATAATTGTGTAACGAATTGTACGTAATACAATCAACAACTAATGATTTTACCTGTCCTGGTAGATGCTGAAAACTCCAGCAGCATGAATTAAGTCATAAGTTCTTGGGTATGAAGAGAATGCTTCACACCAGTCATGGTATACACCAATGAAACCGCGCTCATAAACTACACCTAGAGTGTCTGTATTTGAATTGGCGGGAACCACATTCATAACCCAAACAGGATACTTAATCATAGCTGCTGCAAAACCACCCAAGTATGCATTCATGTCCATCACATTTCTGTACCTCCCTTGTGGTAGAGGAGGGACAATCTTCTTATAGTATGCCACTCTGTCCTTCCACAAATCATTGTCTTCTCTGTATTTCTCAGCTGAAATTCCTGGAACTGTATTGCTGCTTATTCTAGGAGGAAGAGCGTGTGCACGTTCAGGCCATTTTTCGAGAGCTCCACCTGCTACTTCATCTGAGCTACTTACTTCAGGTAATGGGGCTATGCAAGACTCCATATCTTTGTACCTATTTCATAAACAAGGAGTGAAAATACAAAGATTGATACTGTATTACTTAGGAGATAAACTTGGAAAAGATAGCGAAATTTATGTTTATAGTTATATATACATACCAAGCAGCATCTGTATTGTCTGATTTGCAAATATGTGGGGTGGGATAAGTTTTCTTGCTCTTAATACATTCAATGTGATTTATAGGCTTTTGCCAAATGGACAGATCACCCTGTTCAATGACCTTGTTCCAGCACAACTTCTTTGCTACACTCTCAATTGAATCTTGTTCTTGCTTTAGATCTTCCTGAGTCCTTTCCCAACCTCTCCAGTACTTTTTCCAGCGAATCGGAGGTCCTGAAAGAATCCAGTACCCTCCTGGCCTTAACACTCTATCCACTTCCATCAAATACAGTCCATCTGCAATAAATAAACAGATCAAATATATAATCCATCCGTTTGTGGTTGTTTTCAAGTTGTTACTCAATAGCCTAAATTACAGTTTTTTTTGGTGTTTTATTACAAATATTGATGTGTTTAACAGAAAACTTACCATACTTGTTCCAGGGTATTAGGCAACGGGAACAATGAGCCATGTCGAAAGCTCTTGCAGGGTAAGGAAGCCTCTGGGAAGCCATGATGCCAATCATAGCAGGAACTCCTCGCTCTAAGGCAAACTGCACCTGAGCTTCATGTGTGTCTCGCGGTGCAAAAGACATTGAAATGATGTCTCTCTTTAATAAGTAAGCACCCCAACTTGCAACCTTCATCATCCAACAAATAAATGATTCAGGCTGTTCTTCTGTAGCATTTATAAAATTGTTTAATGAAGTAAAAGTGAAGTAAACACTATCATAGAATAGGCTCTATTTAAAGTTTATGATACTAGTTGATGTCTGACAATTAAAACAGAAGAATCAATCACTAACAGAAGCTAGCTAGATAAACTACACAATAATTTTCAGTTATTTGTTGATTAGTTCCAAGTGTCTCCAAGTTCTTGCTGAATTACAGGATTAAGCTCGGTCTCACTTGTTGTAACAAAAAGGCGGTGTGGTACTTAAACCTTCATATACAACAGAGAATTTCTAAAACACAGGTGCATCATTATGAGAAAAAACAAGTTATATGATGTACTAAAAAAACAAAAGAAGGTTGTGTAACATACCCCACAGCCAGTGTCAATGGCAGTCCGAATCTTGCCGGTAGTAAGGGGAATGAGATTATTAATATCATCAATGTAAGCATCAGCACCACGAGGGAACATAGTGCCTCCACCAGGAAACCGAAAACGGTCACCTTCAACTTGGATCCAATTTTGGATAGCCTTCTCAATACTAAGCTCTTTGTGAGGAATATTATCATACCAAGCATAATCTCTGCTTTGAGGCCACTTAAAAGGAGTCTTATACTTTGGAGGAGGCGGTATTAGACATTGTATCAACTCGTCTTTACTAGGACAATGTCGCTCTCTATACTTCAACATGTAACGGTCAAACTTCCTGCCCCTCCTAGGATCTTGGCAAGGTGTGTACTCACTTAAGGACATATCACACGGTGGAAACTCTTTCACTGCTGCATCATCAGTATCATTCATTGCTAATTGATGATGGCTTTCAAAGTCTAGATTTGCTATTCCTGTTGAAGGAGAATTGGTTCCTAGTTTTGAAACTTCAGGGGACGCGTTGTTTGTGCATTTTATCTTCCCATCGTTGATGTTGTTGCTGTTGTCGTCGTTGTTGTTTAGTCGTTGAAACTTGTTAGCAACAGACGGTGTTTTACCTTGCCAAACGCCGAGGATGTAGAACAGGACACAAAGGCTACTCACCATAAAAATGTAGGTAAGGCGTTTTCTCTTAGCCTCTATGTAATGGTGGGGTTTTGGAGAACCTCCTCCATGCTCCCTTGCCATTTTCTATACCAAATATTATGATTTGCTTGAAGAGATATTATTGACTTAGGTTTTTTTTTACAAGAAATGATCAAAACATTGTTCTAAATCTTCAAGTCTTGTGCATTTATCCTGAAACAATGTTGATGAAAAATGATGCTATTATATAGGTATTCAAAAGAATGGCTAGGAGATAAATCACATGAATTTTTTTGGTAAGAAAGCCACAAGTTATTGTTCATAGTCATAAATTTTAGGTTGAGACCATGTCAGGCAAAATAATAAAGCCACAATATGAGATCGAATAGCATGATCATATTTATTTACGGTCTTATGGATATTAACATGAGATTTTTCATACGAAATTATAGATACATTCACTATCATTAAATTGTTGTTATAAAACATCTCCTTACGCATTGTAAATATCAATCTTCTTGCTATATTTATTATCTATAAACTTTGACTAGGTAATTTATAATTAAGTTTTATGCGAATGATTTGGATCATTCAATAAATATTTGAAAGACATCAAAATTACTACGCAGGAAGTAAATTATTCTTTTTGTAGGCTCGCATGGAATTACCATAATGTTTGATACGAAATACACATAAAAAGATGCAATAGGATTATGTCCAATTGAACCGTTAAAATTATAACAACCAAACACAAAAGTAAAAAAAAAAAACATTAAAATGTTGTTTTGTTCTCCTATTATGTACATCCGGCTATAATTTGGGAGAAATAATAAACCCTCCAATTATTTAATTAGAAAATTGGGAGGATCTTGCTCCAAAAAAGATTGATCACTTTCTAATGTGGCTCACATCGTTGTGAACAAAATTATACATATTAACCCATTTTTTTTTTTATTTTTTTTTACTTACAATAGCTTTTAATTTGAAGATAATAGATTGTTCTAGCAAATATATAAATTTTGTATTTTTTTTACAACACATTTTCATGTAAATATCATATATAAGGTTTATTCTTAATGAGCTGATCATCACACTTACATAAATTTTAGAAAATCAAAACAAAACTTAAACAAAATTGTCATGATTTTTTTTCCTTTAGCTTATACAATACTTAATTGATTAATTATTTAGAGAAATATGAATAAATGGATTGAAACACCAACATATTTACATACCTCAAAACTCCAAAGAAATCACTTCTTCTTTTTGCTATAACATATACGAGGACTTTGTTTCAATTTAGTACATTGGAATTGATTATGGTACAAGGACCGATCATGCTAGAACAAAAAATGAAACTGATAATTTTATACCCAATATATAAATTTTCCATGCAAAATAAAAATTTCTCTAAAAATTTAAGAACAATATAAAAAGATATTAATTACCAGAGAACTACAATAAAATTGAAAGGATTAATGTGGAAATAAAAATAATGGGAAAATAGAAAGGAAGAAGAATAAGAGGGCAGTAATATAATCAAGTTATAAGTACGCAACAAAAAACGCTCCTTCTCTAGTTTTTTTCCTTACTTTTTATCCAATTTTCCATTTTTAGGAAGGAAAATTAATCTAAATAGCAATACAAATTTATAATTTTTGTAAAAAAAATTAATTAAATCGAAAAATGGTATCCTATATTTCTGACAACTATGACGACTAGTTCAATAATCAATACTATAATTACGCGCCTAAAAATTCTCAATAGCCCATATTGTTGCACCACCCTAGCTTCTTCCATACTTGCATTCTAAAAATTTAAGTGTTTCTTTTCGAGATTTTTCCACCTATATAACCTTCTCAGCTCAAATAATTGCACCATTTTTTTTTTGTTTTGTTTTTTTTGTTGTAAAGAAAATTATTGCTCTACTTGAACCCTATATATTGTAATATAGACAAAGGAGTACTATGTTCCTTACAAGTGACTATGTAACATACAAAAATTTCATGTGCGTCGAACATTATTATAGACATATATAGCTAGCGATGAAAATTATCACTCATCGGTCATTGTTATAGAAACATATTAACGCCTCAAGTTTTCATATGATATTTTGTGGTCGATGATGTTGATGAAATTTGCTCAGTACTAGTATTATATTTGTACAATTTTTAAGTTTATGCTTTCATGAAAGTACTTGTTTTTAAACCTAGTGAATGGACATGACCAAGCAAAATTTAAAATAAAAAATAAAATGAAAATACAAAAATTTTCATTTATTCAAATGTTAAAATAAATGAAAATAAAGGTTTTAAATTATCACCTCAGTTACCTTTTAATTGTAACAAAGGAATTTTTTATTTCTCAAAAATAATATCCCTTTATTACAACTAAAAATACACGTAAGTATTATTTAAATGTTACTTAGTTTACACCCTTGTGCCATGCATGGTCCACCCCTACGGCCCTGCTCAGTGCTCACGTTTCACGATTCACGATATGCTAATTACCGATGAGGTAAGGTTGAGCTAGTTTACAAATACTTTATTATGGACTTTATGTATTTAGAAACATTAACTATTGCAAATTTATTTGTAATATATATAATTTATGAAGTAATAACTCAGGATATCGCTCCAACCAGACACTATTCTCTCTTTAATAAATTATAAATATTTTGCTTGATCACAATAACTTTTATGACATAGATAAAAGAGTGCTAATTGAGTTGTAATAAACTTATTCACCATCCAATTAGTAAATTCTACATGCTTTGATTCATAGTTAAAGTACACTTCTACCAAACGTGTTGGATATTTTTATTAGGAAACCAAAGTTATAGTCATATAGAAGAAGAAGAAGAATAAGAATCTAACATGAGTGATCAATTCTAGTAGAAATACAAACGATAATAGTACAAAATAAAGCCTTTTTTACAGGTGAAATTATTTTAAAAAAAGAATTGGAATATTACCTTTTAAGAGTGAGTAGATAAAATATAGATGGTGCTTGTTAAGAGTAGTGAGTTTCATGGATTGAAATATTATTGATAGGTGTCGCCTAAAAGAGATATTAAAGAATATATTTACACTTCCGAATCTCATATTTATTATTCTTTCATAAATTCTTTTTATTTACTTATTAATTTTTAATGAATCATGACCCTCATTTTCTGTGACCCCTTTTGTTCCCATCTCCATTGTCACACCACTTTAATTTGTTTTATTTCTTAATTAAATTAAAAAAAAAAATACGAAGTATAATTTATACATATAACGTTATTGTGGGATACTATTCCCTGCCTAAAGGGGTTTTGGTTCCCTCTTTTCTGCCGTCTCTTTAGGACTTTTTGATCAACTTCTTTAATTTTTTTATATAATGATTTGGATGGAAACAATATTATCATTGGTTTACTTAGCCTATAATCAAACTTTTGGGAGATGATATTCAATTTTTGTTATCATAAGAGATGATACATTATGTATTTGATTCTTGAGCATTGGTGGTAAGCAGGTCTTTTGGATTGAGTCATATTTTAACGAGTCATTCTAATCTAGCTAAACTTAGTAATATATGTTCATATTTAGCTCTATTGACCTTTAATCCTTTATATGATAAATTTTCAGGTGTTGTGTACGTATTGTACAATTCAAATCGATTAGTTATCGATAATCGGAAAGATTTAGCACTAGGTTGGTCCAACTTGAAACACGACATGACTAAATAAATACGAATTTGGATTGTGTAAGCAAGATCACTATTTTGGTTGCATACTTGCATGACCCATGGTCCATGGAATGAAATTTAGGTTACAAATTGGTACCTTGGAAAAATAAATTCTCCATCCCTTGAAAATAGGTCAATATAGTATTTGTTGACCAACTACATCAACTTTAACCATTTATTTTGTGAGAGGAATGTTTGACTCACAAAAATAAATCATAAAACTTCAGAAAAATGAATAACGATACTTGAATATGTCGGTAACTTTTTACACATGAGAACTAAACACTATTAATCAAAATACCAAGTTATCCATCACAATTCCCCGAGTAAAATGCAAAGATTTATCTTTAAATTATCGACCATGTTAACAAAAAAGCATTGAACAAGAGCAACAATCAAATCCCCGAAAAAATAGCCAAAAGAGTACATAATAAATAATGGAGGAATGATGCCATACCATGGAGGTAGGCCATGACAAAGTCACAAACACAATGAATAAATTGTCTAACACGGCCCACGTGGGAGCCCCATTTCATACAACTTTAAAATAGCCCAAAAACCACTAAATTTAAACACAAGTAACACCTTCAATTCTCTGCATTATTCTTCAAACTTATTATAGCTACAAAATTCAAATTGACAAGACTTTTAGAGCATTTTGGAATATAAATTACAGGTAAAAATTTAAAGAGGCTGGAAGAAGAAGCGATACTCTGCAAGTTCAGATCGAATATCTTCATCCTCAGCCTTACAGTCATCTTCGTCATCGTCGTCGTCTAACCTTTATCTATCTTTCCTTGATCACACAACTTTTAGAGCCCATAATTTTATGTTTTGTTTATAATATAAGTTAAGCTTACTTAACTTAGATTTATACGATTCGTACGTATAAATACATACACCTCCTACACGTTTAGAAATGGGAAAAACCTATAAAAGAGCCCTTTCTTTGTTCTTCTCCTCCATTACTTGCTGTTTCTTTGGTTATAAACATACTCATCATCGTGCACATAGTCTTCAAAATCGCGTTCGTGTTACAAGTAACTTTAGGTACTTCTCCTACGACATGCCTAAGTCGTCTCGCCCGTTGTCTCTGCAGGTTTGCCTCCTTCATTCATCCTCCTTCCTCTTCCTAAACATCCTAAAAAATTTTAAAGCTGTTTTTTACTCTATTGTGCATGTTTAGTCGTATTTGTAGTATGTGGTGGTACGGAGTCATTTTATCTATTTTATTTTTTGTTCATTTGTATGGTTTGTCACGTTAGGAATTCCCCTCGTGCAGAGGGCTTCTGTTTATTTCTTCTTATATTTTCATAAAAATATAACCAAAAAAAAAAAAAAAAAACTCCACAAAATACTAATCTATATACTTTTAATTCTTGCTCTCATGCAATTTTTCACTAGGGACTTTAATTTAGGATTTTGCTAACTTACAAAAAAGTATTTCATAATAATTCTAATTAGTGGAGTGCCTAGCATACTTTATTTTTTCATCCCATATAATAAAAGTATGAGATAGAGCTTGAGAAGTAGCTAAGTACAATAGGTTTGTACCCAAAAAAAAATATAAAAAAAAATAAAAGTATATGTATTGTTTATTTATCATGATGACAATATAATTTTTTTCTTTTTACCTTTACCAATCACTCGATAAATAAAAGGTCACTTTACCCGAAATAACAATAACATATTTCTCATAAAGGATAAATCGCCGCAATAGTATATATAGAATGTACGTCAAAAGTGTAGGTGTGACCAATTGAACAATTATTTTCCTGTGAAAACCTTTAGTATTTTGCAAACTTAAATCGTCGCTTCATTAACAAAAATTTGCAAAAAGTTTGAGTAAGACTAATAGACATGTACAAGTACAAGAGGAGCGCCTACTAGTCATATGCTCCTATATATCTCCTACCGTCCACTATATGATAGGGAGTAGTTTATACTCATGGAATAGATATTATTTGCATATTCAAAATCTTAGCATTAAGTTTATATTTTTGTGGATAATTGCTTGGTACTTATTATTGAACTTTACCTAGTTTTATGTATGTTGCATTGTTTTTTTCCTTTTATGGTAAAAAAGAGACTAATTAATCACTTTCTTAATGTAAATTAATGTCCATGTGCAATAGAGTATTAAGAAAAAGATTACTTTATTAAGAGCCTAATAAATAAAATTAGATTTAGAGCATATTTAGTAGTAGAGTATCATATTCAAATTCTTCATTCCTTTAGTCATGTACCATATAGCTTATAAAGTTAAACAAGAATAAAATATTATCCGAATTGTTCTAGAATCATAGAAGTAAAGGGTTAATAATAGTTGCCAAATGCAAACTCAAAAGGGACTTGAGCTAACATAGCACAAAGTTACTATTAGAATCCATAAAAAGAATTTTAACTTTGATTTGTGAAAGCATTTTAGAGTATGTCACACGACACTCACACTTGTTATTCTACTTTTTGTTTCTCAGACCGTGGAACTAAAGGTTCGTATGTGCTGCACGGGATGTGAAAGGGTTGTCAAGGATGCCGTTTTAAAACTTAGAGGTAATAAACATCATATCAAGTACGTAAATGTTTAGTATTTCTACTTTACACTATAATTAAGGTCGTTTATGCTTATTGAAATTATTGTTTGCTTATACTACGTATAATACACCCGTGCATGTATTAATGTATACCTCATAAGCCAGCACGTAACATGAATACAAAACCATATACCCGATGCAAAGCAAAGTATAAGTTCTCCTTAGAAATTAAATATCCAATAGAGCAATACAAGTACAAAATATTATTATTAAGCACAAACTAAATTAAATAATTAGATCATGATTATTATCTACCGAAAGTAACAGAAGACAAACCCCACAAATAATCTCACATATATATAAAGTACAGATCAATGGACTATGTTATAATTACACTTTTAGTATATATAATTAGAATCTTCTACCATTCAAGTTGATCGACAACAAGACAACTGTCCTTTTTAAAAATATTCTTAGCTGAAAAACATTTGTTTATATACTTCCTCTGTTCTTTTTTACTTGACCTGTTTCTTTTATCACGCTTGTCAATGCAAAACTTTAATGATCAATAACTTAAATTCTCCATAAGTAAAAATTATAAAAGTTATATATTATGATAGTACTTATTGAGGCAAATCCAAAAACATCATACATGAATATATTTTTCCTTATATATTATTCACAAAAGACGGTAAAAGAAGGGGTGGTGAATAGTGTAAAAGTCAAATTGGGTCACTTAATAAAGAACGGAGGAAGTATATTCTAATTTTTTTACAAAAAAAAAGTTTGCATAGATTCCATGCAACATTTACATTTTTTTTTTCCTGCATATACTTTGTTTTGGATTAGGAACATTGTTATATATTTCAAAAATTAGTCTTTTTGAATTTGAAATTGCTTAGTGTAGGTGTTTTTTGTGGAAAGTCCATTTTAAAGATTCCTTTAATATTAAATAATGCACATAAAGAGTTTAATATAGAGGGCTATTCTTTGTGATAATATAAGATATTTGATAAAGGAAGAAATTAAGAAATAGGCGTGCAATATGACTTTCCCCTTATCACGATGAAAACCATTTAAATTATTCTTATGTTTGGTTATCTTATAAGCCATTTTTAAATTTTAATGGATGATTATAAAACATAGATTCTCATAAAAGAACTATCTTCTTTTTAATACAAGTATGCAACTTCAATAATAGGGTCATATAAATTTGATTTATAAAATTCAAGTGAATATAACGCATCATTACAAAATTATAGATAATTAAAAAATAATAAGTGATTGATTATTATTCAATTTTGGAAAACTTAGAGGGAGTAGAAATTAAATATAAAAACTCAAAAAGAACAATTGTGCCATAGTATTCAAATTACTATTCCTTTTTCAAATAAAGTTCTCCTTTATAATAGATTTGACAAAGTAAAATCACGACTATTATTTGCAGATAATTATAAGTGCTAGACTACTATATGCCTAGATAACAGTGTTAGCCTAATAGTTTATTATAATTAACTAAATGGCTAGACTAAAAGCTCCTTATTATAGGGTCATGACTAAAAGCTCCTAATTAATATAAGTGTAAAGTAATTAAGTGGATTGAAGAATGATTATCAAATCCACTTCTTCCTAATTAAATCTTCTACATTTCGGCTAGTGAGCTCATATAAAACATAAGGGAGCAAGTAGCTGTTTTTTCATATACTATACAACTATTTTTTTATTTATTCTGATAAGTTATAGTATGTCGTGACTCGTAAGTGAAGACTATCCTAACTTCATTTTTGTATACCTTTCGCTTAAAAAAAAACATAATGTATACTTTATTACTTTCTTTAAAATATCGATTAGGTAACAAATGATGACTACAAACTTACTCGTATATTGTTCAATTAACAGGAGTGGATTCGATAGATGTCGAGCTTCCAATGGAAAAGGTGACAGTTATAGGATATGTGGATCGCAACAAGGTGTTAAAAGCTATAAGAAGGGCGGGAAAGAGGGCCGAGTTTTGGCCCTACCCTAACCCTCCTCTCTATTTCACATCTGCCACCAACTACTTTAAGGACATGACCCATGATTACAAAGAGACCTACAATTATTATCGACATGGTTACAATGTTGGTGATAAGCATGGATCCCTTCCAATTTCTTCTCGTGGAGATGATAGAGTTAGTAACATGTTTAATGACGACAATGTCAATGCTTGCACCGTCATGTAGTTATAATGTTGTAACAACTTTATTTATTATCTCATTTAGCTAGGAATCATGTATATGTACTAGCTACTTGTATGTATTTTATTATGTACTAATCTTTATGCCTCCTATAGATCTCAAAAAAAAAAAAAAAAAAAAAAAAAAAAAAAAAAAAAAAAAAAAAAAAAAAAAAAGAGTAAATAGGAGTGTGTCGTAGGAATATGTAGTTCCTTTATAGTTATGTGTTATGCATCTCTTGTGCCAAAAATGTATGGTGTATTGGTGTTATTGTTGATCTATCAACTTAGATGTTGTCAATTAAAAAAATGATTAATATGTATGTTACATTACATTGTCAACAAACTTGCCTTTGGATTATATACGAAAATGATTTTGATATGGGATGTTACTATGTTAGATTATGGTTAAAAAAAAGTATTTCGCAAAGACATAATATTAAATTGTTAATTGAATCAATAAATTTAAAGTATTTTTTTTGTTTCATGCACATATCAAAATTAATACTCTGTACTTTGTAAATGGATTGAGTGAATATGAGCTTATATTTGTATATCTATGAAATGAAGCACAATATATTCAAATTTGTCAAGGTAAGGAAAATGCCTAACCAGGCCAGAATACCACACAATTCAATCCATCTAAGATTAACAAGCTAAACGCAAAAAGGGAAATAACCTAAAAGATTATCATCCCTAAATTTCTTTCAGTTACAATTGAACTCCAAATCTCAAAGTTGAAATGAAACATATTAATAAGTTAAAGTAATAAGTAAGATTTAATGAGGGTTGTTTAAGAAAGCTATCATTCTAATAAATTTAGATAAATAAAATGACATAACACAATAATATATTCAAAATTAAATTAGATTAAACTAATACTTCGTAGTAGTACTTACAAAAAAAATTAAAAAAAATAAAAATAAATCAAGCTTATAGTTGTATAATAATCCTTATGATTTGATTCGTCAACAAAAGGGATAATAGAGCGGCCCACGTCATAGCTAAGGCCTCTAAGGACCTAACTACCTAAGGGCCAAAGGCTCCTCCTTTGAGCTGGATAGGGTCAGGATACTAGTGGGCTTACTCATTCATTTTATTTTATTTACAAAATTGACTTTATTTTTTTGCTAAAAGCTTGAATGGATTTTTAATTTATTTATTTTTTGGACTGTATATTGAATTATTGGCTAATAAAATCCATATAAATGAGAATTGATAATTATTTTTCTACACAATTGTGGAGGACGGCAAGAAATTCATCATTATGTTGTCCATAGATGAATTATAGAGACTATAAATCTTTATTTATTTAATTTTTATACAAAAATGGTAGTTATTTTCATATTTTTTTTAAAAAAAATTAAAGTTGTGAGATTGAACTAAAGGGAAAAAAAAAAATCTTCTAAGATCATATAATAAATTTGGATAGGGCCATAAAAAGGCAAAGAAACCTTATATTATACTTTAAAACGATAAAATGGAGTGTGATAGTCTTAATTTAAAATCATAATGATTAATGAAGTGGTATTGGATGTTTGATAATTGATGTTGAAATATTTGAACCATGTACATTTAACAGGATATATTAGCATCAAAGAAAATTAAAATTATTATTGAAAAATTTATGATCTAAAGAAGCCTTATTTATAATAAAGTTCAACAGTACAACTATAGTGTTTAGTGCGATCATCATTAAGAACTTTTTTGAAGTTGTTAACTTAGATGGAACACACAAGGGGGGTGAATTGTGTAGGAACTAGTGGTCCTAAATTTTGCGGAAATTTAAAACGTAGAACAAAATAAAGAGATGCAAAGAGATTTTTACGTGGAAACTCCTTGTGCCCAACAAGGAGAAAACCACGACTACTTGGGATTTTCGAACACGACTTCACTAAATAGAGCAACTACTCCGTTACAACCTATAAGGAACTCGACAAAACTTAAGTTCCAATTAGAACCTAAGCCAACCCCAAATGCTCACTCTAGCTTCTGCTCCAAAGCCTACACTCAAGACTTAACTCTAAGTCTTTACAAGGATCACTCAACCCTTTCCCAAATTACAACTCAGTAATTTGAACTCTACGTGTTTAGATATCTTACAATAGTTGGAACATAGGGATACTGTTTCATCAACCCAACCACCTTCCCCACATTCTCCACTACATGAGGTGATGTTCCTAAACTTTAGGAACTAACTCAAGCAATGTAGAGAAGTCAGGAAAGTCGTTCAATATAGAACGTGGGATGAGGTTTGAATAAATCTTTTCCTTGGAGAGTAATTTAAGGAATCAGTTAAAATCTTTTTCCAGAAGATATTTATTTTGTTAAAAAATATAACAAAGAAATATCTTTTTATAATTTTAACAAAAACCAAAAATAAGATAAAAACCAATTTTATAAAACTGATTGATCGTTTCACTTTTTATTCCAATTAACTCTCGTATTCCTTGTGTTCCACACATAGCACCCCTTGTCGAGTATATATATATATATAAACAAAGGGTATAAATAGAGTTATGTATCAAGTCAACTCACAACCATACAAAACTTTCCAAGGCAATCACACATATGCTAATCAAAAGTATTTATTATCAATAAGCGAAAGGTCCATGTAGCACATATTACCAAAAAATTGAATAGCCAGTACTACAGACCAAAATAAAGCAAAATAAAGATAGTGTTCCAGATGTAATCTAAGAAAGCAAAAGATTAAAGAGTAGAAAATGTAGCAGACTAGTCATCAATTTCAGGAACATCTTCAAAAGCAACCTCCTCCAGGCGATGAAGAACTGTGTCTTGTGCCTGAGTAACTGACTTTCTATGAGCTTTGGTTACAAGTTGAAGACGGTGTACTGACCTTTTCAAGGAACCTACAGTAGCCTGAAGTGACATGATCTTGTTGTCAATTTGATCTTGCTTAGACATCACCTGCTTCAACATGTCAACTACAGTGTGTAACTTAGGATCACCACCAAAAAGTCTCGTGTTACTCATTGTACCAAACCCAGATGTTCCAAAAGAGGTTGGAACACCAAAACCCGAGCTGCTACCAGTAGTGCCAAAAGTATGTGTGTTTCTTGTAGGAACATGTGGAATGACAGGAAAATTTAAAATCCCCTGTGTTTGGGTCCAATTTAGTCCAATTGGGCCTAGGCATGAAATGATTCAATTAAAAGCCCATCTCTCCAATTGTGCTAAAGTCAAAGATCAGTCCTCAAGGCAAGCCAATTGGGCTAAGGCCCAACTTCTCCATGTATGCAGAGGTATAAAAGCCATCAATATTACATTTGTACATTCATTCAAGCAAAGCCTCAAGCAATTAATTCTCTTGCATAGTGTTCTCTTTCTACACACTGTACTGACTTTAGCATCGGAGGGGCCTTCCTCGGCAACACCCCCGAGGCTAGTTTACGTGTGTTTACTGTGCAGGAAACCTTCGGCCCAACATTACTTGGATCGAATCTAGTCTTCTCCACTTCATCGGACCTTCGAAAAGGTCCCATTGTTTTCACCCGAAACACTTTGGCGCCGTCTGTGGGGAAGACTTTCAAAAATCTTTAAGCCAAATTTCTAACCAAGATCATCTTGCATAATCTTAGTAGCAATGGCTAAGAACCGCAAGAGCAAAGGCCTCCGTCAAGGAGCAGGCGAAAAGCCTAAAACCCCTACACCATCACCCTCGCCGGACCGGAACTCTCCCAAGGGTGCCAGCTCAGGGGGAGGATCATACAGGGAGGATTCCCTTTCTCCCGTAATTCATAACTCTCATCATAGGCCGAGTCACTCTCGGTCTAGCAGGGGTGAGTCTGATCATAGGACACATTCAGTGCCCCAAAGCCAACCATCGACTGTGCGCTCTCATTCCCATACTCGGCCGAGGACCCCTTTGGCGGGGCCCAGCTCGGAGGAGGTGGCAAGAGCGCTGGCAGTGCTCATGGAGGCAATGAGGGCACAAAATATGTCACCACCTCGTGATCGAACTCCTCCGCATACCCGGCATCAACGGAGGAAGCTAGACCGTGATGGTGGGAATCTTCCTTCCTCCCGGGAACTGGGAGAGTGGGAAGAGGATACCTGGAAAACTGAAAAAGAGAGGAAAAAGAACCCTCAATTTTTCAAAGGATCCTCATCCTCCCGACCAGAAACGCATAAGAGCAGCAGCTCAGCTTCTCGGCCAGAATCTACTCACCGAGAACGACCTGAGACTGTTCGCCGAAGCGTCCTCGACCGACTCGGCGTCAAGGAACCAAGCGTGCACAGTCGCCTCTCGTTCCCTGCGACCGAGGCCCAGACTTCCCAGCCAGGGACGAAAACCACTCCTACCTCTCTAAGAGGGCGGAGCGCGGTCCCTTCGGCCAGGAACAAGGGCAAGGTCGTTATGCTACCCGCCAGTTCTCCATTCGAGCAATGGATACTGGAAGAGCACGTGCCCACGGTTAAAATACCGTCGCACATCACATATGACGGGACCTCGGATCCGAAGGACCACGTGGCCTCGTATGAGACTCATATGCATCTTTGCCCCAGATCCAAAGCGACTTGGTGCAAATATTTCCCAACAACTCTCAAGGGGGTCGCGCAAGCGTGGATCTCCAAGGGAGTAAAGCAAGGCTCCATAACAGGGTGGGATGATCTGTCCTCCAAATTTAGGAGCAAGTTTTCCACGGCAAACCGCCGAGAGAAGACTACTGCAGAACTCATGAGTCTGCAACAGGGGGAAACCGAAAGCCTCCGAGACTATCTGACCCGTTTCAGTAACGAGTCATCCAGCGTCTCTCAGCTGGACCAAGGGCTAGCCGTTTTTGCAATGCAGAATGGCCTTCAGCCCGGGAAGTTCCTAGACTTCATGGTCATGCATACCCCGCAGACCTTGGAGGAAGCTCTGAATGCCTCGGATAAGTTCATCCGAGCCGAAGAATGGAACAAAGCGAAAACCCAACCTCAATTCGGGGGAGGGAAACAAAGACAAATACCCTTGTCTGAAGGCCAAGGCCATAAGGCAAAGGGAAAGTCAAAGGCCTCGGAGCAATCTTCGGCCAGTGACCCAAAGAAGGAAAAATCTGCCTCATACACAGGCAGATACGAGTCCTACACTCCGCTCTCTCTTCCACGCGCCAAAATTTACAGCGTGACGAAGGAGGAGCAGAGTTACCGAAAGCCGAGACCACTCCCAGAGTGGTATCAGCGAAAAAATAAAAATCAGTGGTGCGAGTTCCACGAATCTCCGGGACACAACACTGAGGAGTGTATCCAACTGAAGGACCAGATAGAGGACATGGTCCGGAAGGGATACTTGAAAAAATAAATCGCGGATCACCGCGAGAAAAAAGAGTCCGAGAAGTC